AGGATTTCCTGCTATAACACTCACATGCAGCCCATGATACTCTTGCACAGTGTGGTTCTCTATTTCGCTCGCTCGCTTAGCTTTTTGCCCCCCTCATTTCCCTTGTAATTCGGAAAACAGTCTATCTTCTTTTTATTTCAAAAAGTTCATCAAATCAAGAGATGTTCATGGATTTTAAGATTGTTGCTAATAAAAAAACCATAAATTTGAAGAAAAAAATCCACAACTTTAAAATTGTTCCATGGCACACATAATTTTTAAATGTTTGTGAACTTAAAATGCTCATAACTTTTAAAAATATTGATGATTTTGGAAAAACAATTCAGAATTTTAAAAATATTTTTTATAAATTTTCATGAACTAAGATATGAAAAGAAACATAAAAAGGATGAAAAAATCAGAAGAAGAAAAACAGGAAACGAAGAACAAAAAATATATCAAAACCAGTAGAAAAAACACAGAAATGAAGAAAAAATTAAAACCCTCTAGAACCTTGCTAAAACCGACAGATGCTTTATGGCTATATAGATGTCTGTTGCTCTTAACCAACAATACACAGCTTCAAAGTGGAGTTCTTAGCAACCCCACAACACTTGATCAATCAGAGAGCTCCAAATCAAGGGAGCTTCGTATCTTAGGAATGCAGATTTTTTGAGCACCTGCACCCGGGCCCTATTATCCTGTTTCTCCAATGTCGCTTTAAGATCTGTGCGACAAAACTAACCTCCTACATGAAATTTTCCCTTTTTTGTTCTCTCATATAGAACAAGTCTTGAACTTTAAACTTTGCAGCGCAGCAAAACTTTCTAACTAGAATGTGGGATAAAACTTCCAGAATTTTTGCTCCGAGATAAATACTAAAAATAAGATTTTTTAATCAAACATAATTTATTTTGTATATTTATGTTGGACCAAAAAATCTAAAAGTTTTATCCTAATTCTAGTAAGAAAACTTTGCTATTCTGCAAAGGCTTGAACTTCAAGACATGTTCTTTCTGAGAGAAACAAAAAGGAGAAATGTTCTTGCACGAATCTTGATGCGGAGAATGGATGTCTAGATAAGAGGGGGCCGGGTGCAGGTACTCTAAAACATGTTTTTCCAGTATCCTAGTACTAGTACTCTATTAGTAGATACTCCCTCCGTCCCATAATGTAAGACGCTTTTTAACACTAGTGTAGTGTCAAAAAACGTCTTACATTATGGGACGGAGGGAGTAGATTGTAGGTTTTCGTGGAATTTCTAAAAAATCTCAGACACTTTGAAATGATGTCCTCCAAGTTGTCCAAGTACAACTTGAGCAGAGTCTATTTGCAAAAAAAAAAACTTGAGCAGAGTGGTATAGCAAAATTGTGTGTGTGTGTGTGTGCGTGCGTGCGTGCGTGCGTGTG